CTAGAGTGACAGCGATTACTCTGTTTTTAGGCCTTCTTCACACTGAGGGAAGTATTTGAGCCCTGGTCCAACACAAACCCAAGTCACAGGGGAGATAAAATACAATGTCCTTAAGAAGGCTGACACCTCCTGCCATGGTACATCCCTCCATATGCCCTGATCTTAAGGTTTTCTATTTTGGAGGCTATCCATAGATCGGAGGTGTCATTTACATTTTGGAAATAGAGAACAGAGTACCCTAACACATTGGGCTGAAGAAACTTCATATTAAGATGTAGCCTCATTTACTACCGCCAGGTGACTTTCTGACCTCCCCAATGATGCCAGGAGGGAACATAGGACCAAGGTGAGCACTGCCTTGCTTATAAGATGCCCTCATTTTGATCCTTCCTTCAACTGAGCTGCTTACTTGGCTAATGACCCACTGCCCACTTGTTGATTTAAACTTCTGTGGCAGTTTATATTCTCCTCAGTGGCCTCCTTTATCTGACTCCAGGTTCACACTGACCTCTGTCCTTTGGAATCTCCTGGGTCTGGCCGGTGTTTTAAGTCCTGGGCTTTCCTTAGTTCTTCTGATCTGGCGTCCTGCTCTGTCTCCACACTCCCTTGCCACCCATGATCTACAATGGATAGGTGAAAGCCACTGCAGAACAGGGCAGCCCAGGGCAGACGAGAGGCAGACAGCCTACATTTTCTAATGGACTTTATTAGCAGGCAGGCTGCTTTCTGCCAAACAGGGCTGTTTCTCAGTACATTGCCTTTGGAGAAACTGTTCTTACCCTCTCCTAGTTTATTCCACCACTTTGGCTTCCCTGAGGCTGTCAGAAGCATCAGCTTCAAGGAAAGGGCATACAGCCGTAGGAGGCTGGGCAACATGCAGAAAACCAGAAGTGCAAAGTTGAACGTTGAGAGAACAACCTAAAAGGCAGAGGTACTAGTGCTGGAGGTCCTCAAAGCTGGGTGCTGCCTATACCAAACAGACATGTCCTGGCCTGAAATGTGCTCATAAACGTGTGCTCCTGTGCACACAAACTTGCTCTCCTGGGATACCTGGGTGGCTCAACGTTTGAGCATCTGCCTTTGGCTCAGGGTGTGATCCTGGGATCCCGGGATCCTGGGATCGAGTCCCACATGGGGAGTCTGTTTCTCCCTCTGCCTGTATCTCTCTCTCTGTATCCCTCATGAATAAATAAAACCTTAAAAAAAAAGAAAGAAAGAAAGAAAGAAAGAAAGAAAGAAAGAAAGAAAGAAAGAAAGAAAGAAAACTCTTGCTCTCCTGAATGGAAGTAGAATGAGTCCCACAGCATCACGGCTGGAAGGACCTCATGGATCACCTAGTTCAAACCCATAATTTGGCAAAGAAAAAACCGAAGCCCAGGTCACCATGGCTAGATTAGAATGTCAGCTACAGCATTTCCCATGAACTCTACCTTCCAGGGAACATGTAATGTTTGCTCAGAGTCTGGCCAACTTCTGTACCATTCTGTCAGCAGCAGGGCCGGGACAAGAGTTGGAATGCTTCGAAATGCCCCCTAAGAAGGCTACCCCCCAAGCAGCCAGATGTTGCCAGAAAATATCAGGGCAGTGGGGTGTCCAGGGAACAGAGCAATGTAGATCTGAGAGAGGTCCCTTTACTATCCTCTCTCCCAACTTTTGATAAAAAGAACTTGGGTACATTTTGGTTCACTGGCGGCAAATACCACCAGCTTCCCATTTCTCTCCCACCTTCTGTAGTCTCCTGTGAGGTAGGGGAATCAAGATTGAACAGAAATCAGGTTATAGTGGCAAGAACAGGTAATTTAATCTGTTTATAGAGAGCTTTGAAGCTAGGCAGATATGAGAAATAGTCTATCAATTGATGTCTTCCTACATTTTTAAAAGCTGTACCTCATACAGCTAGCCAATAGCTTTTACGTCTTAGAAATAATAATTACAGCAATTTATTATCTCTTTATCCTTATGAAGAACACATAACAATATACTGGAAGTAACAGTCTCAATGTCTCAACCCATGAAGAATTGTTTAAGAATAGCTGAAGAAAGATTGATGTGAGTAAATGGACGAAGACAGGAATATCCGGAAATTTTCCAATCAGTAAAATCTATTAGTCTACAGTACAGTGTCTCAAGGGAACCAGTGAAAGCCCAATCTTATGAGTCATTTAAAAGTGGAGTGGATTTAGTTCTTGGAGTTCTTCCAAGGGGAAAACTCTTGCAGTATACCGGAAATGACAGTACACCTAATGGGTTGCTGTCATGTTGACCATTTTCCACATTAGCATGTCTAGGTGGTTCTTTGGGTTTAACAAGGGAACACAAGAAAGGGGAACTGACTGGTCAGGATCCACTACAACTGATGCTCAGGAATACTATACTGCTGAGGCTCCTTCTAATAACAATGGGCAGAGTTGGGGGTCACAAGGTTAGGCTAACTTGAGAAAACTGGAAACGGGCATTAGAAGAAAAGTTGGAGATCTCCAGCAGAAATGCTGCTCTCAACCCCCTGTGGGCATCTTGGTGTGGTCTTAAAATAAGGTACCTTTCTGCGTGGCCTTAGTAATCCCACCTCCCTATTTGTGACCTTCAGTCTCTATTATGACTTAATTTGATATTCATGTATTTTCATGTTTTTCTCTACACTTCATGATCATCGTTGACATTTTCTCTCATCGCCTTATTTCTGTATTATGTATATATTCTATATTCTGTATCATTGACATCCCATCTCATATCCAAAACAAAAACCAAACACCATTTAAAAAATTTTTTTGTTTTGTTTTTATGGTAGGGTATATCTTGGTCTCATTGTTACATTTACTGTCACGAATGCCCTGGGTTTCAATTCTCTCAACTGGAAAACAGCGAAAATAAAACCATCTCTATTTACATCTCAGGTTGTCATAAAAACAGGCAAGAGAATGGATGTGAAATCACCTGGAAATCTAAAGTACTATAGAAATACAAGGTATTATTGCTTCTTGTTTTCTTGCCCATTACAATGTTGCCCATCCTAGGATAAAAATATTTTGTGGACAGCTATCTTTGTATTATTACCTGGTGTTATAACTCCCTGATATTTGAATAGAAGGGTCATGAAAACAGGTACCTCAAAACACACTTGCTGGAAAGGACATTAAATTATGTTGCAGATGGGGGGGAGAGGGGGCCTATTTTGGAATCACCGGTAAAAATCTGGTGCTCCAGGATGATCTGTTTAGTGGTTTCAACATGAAATAACACAACTGAGGAAAAGAAGGAAAAATTAAGATGTACCAAATACTTTATATAAATGTAATCCCCACGACACTGGGGATAACATCACCCCAATTCACACACAAGAAAAATCAATGCCCGAGGTCACAGAGTTAGTAAAAGACAAAACTTTAGTACATACCCAGATCTGCCCAATTTGAACTCCCCACTGCACTGTGTGGCATATTTGATGTTGTCACAGAGTAACTGTGTTTTATTGTATAAATATATCCCATTGATCGCATGGCACTAGATGCAGACAATTCAACACAACCCAGATAGACAGGGTAGAGTCAAAACTCCATGCACCCTTGCAGTTGCCACTTCAGTAATGTTACATATCACACTGTGCAAATAGGCATGTTAGTTAGATGCCAGCATAGAAACATACACTTTGTCACAGCCATTCTTTGCACTGACTACTACCCCCACCCCAATATGGTACTAATATTAAGTTAGAAAAATCCATGAATCAGCTTGCAGGTCCCAGGGGCTTCAGTTAGTACTAAAGATTGGGGCTTGTTAAGAACATATCAGAGGTTGTCTTTGACAAATAAAATGTACTAACTTAACATTAGCAACATTACTTCTACCAAAGACCTTTAAAGAAAAGAATCACTGGCATGCTAGTAGGAGTTACACAGTTGGAGCTACAAGCAAGAAACAGAAGAAAGCCTCAAGCCAGTAGGCTTTTAAAGAAAATACAGGCTTTTTTTTTTTTTTTTAAATCTTGGTTATATATTTTTTTCTACTAGTGTTGATGTTACTTTCCAGCTACCCAGACAATACCAACCCTCCCACAAATATCAGAAATTTATAGTGTTAGAAATTTACACTAAGTGGTTTTATTAAAACTACAGCAAATTAGACTACAGAAAGCCATGCTGTGTTACTCAAACACTACATTTAGTTGGGTCAGAAGGCCAACTCTGGGGAGTTTGTCAGCAGAAGGAATCAAGGTTTCCGACAATTTCTGTCAGAACAACCTATATCCAACTGCTAAATCAGTTAAATGATGGGCAATTAGGTGACCTGCCAGAATTGAAAATTTGCGTCAGGGTTTATCATTAGCTTTCTAAAGCACATGAATTAGAGAAAATTCATGTCCTGTGAACATAGAATTATTCTGAAATGGGGGGTCAAGAGAAGAGTGTGGCTGCGGTACATAAAAGTGATGGAAAGTGTTGCCTAAATCCCATCTCTGGACTCGCTTTCCCTGCCCAATCTGGTGAGCTCTAGCAACTGGTAGAAGATTGAAAAGTGCTCAAAAGGTGGCTTTCTGTTTTAGCTTTTGGTTTGTCTTTTGTGTTTCTAAGCCAGATTCTCTGTATGGCTACTTGCTGCTTATAGACCCAAAGCTCCTGGCGCCTTAACTTGTATCCTTCCTCTTTGTTGGCTTTGAGTGTTGGCCCAGAAATATGAGGCATGACCTTGAGACACAATTATCATAAAAGACAAAAGTTCAAAACAACTGGGAAAGTATTGTTTTAGTAAGAATCTTTTTCTTTCCTGCAAGTAAATGAAACGAGTTAAACACAAGGAGAATGTAGACTCTTCTCCCAACTACCTGGATGGAAGTCGATTACTAACGAATCTTGTTAGTTAGTTGTTATGGCAATTCTTAATGGTGATGACTAGTTTGGTTTACAAAGCTCTTCCATACACATTAGCCTATTCAGTCCTTATCAGTGCCCATGATGTTGGGCTTGCTTCCTTCTGGTGCCCCAATGAACTTGGCTCACACCCACCTGTTTGGCCTGATTGACACAGTGCATGTACTGGTTGGCCAGAGCAGAGCAGCTGAGGGTCTGCTGGGTGTTCTGGCGGTAACACTGGAGAATTTTGGCCTGCAGATCAGCACAGACAGGATGAAACTCATACCGCCTGAAACAAAAACAGGTGAGACAAACGGTCTTCAATCAGAATGAAGATCAAGGCTGAAGAGTATATAAAACATTAAATATGATATAAATGTTTCAAGCATAGAAAAAACGTTTCTAAAAATTATTTCTATGAAATTAGTTCCAATAGTTGATACCACCATGAGCCTATCCAGACACTGTAACACTCCCAACCAAACCTATACCTAAACCGGGTGAATGGTGCCAATAATCTTTAGCCCAGTCTACCAAATCAGAAACCCAAGAGCCTCAATTTCTCTCACCCATGCCCACTCCAGTCAGTCACTGAGTTCGAGATAATGTGTGGTCTGGTCCTCTTTCACCATATTCACTGTCATTACATTAACTCATAATCACTTTTATCCTGGAATCAGGCAATGACCTCTAAACTAAAGTCTTGGCTTTTGCCCTCTACTCTTACCTTCCAAAACATTCTTTCTAATACATAAATCCAAGACCAAGTCTCTCCCTACTGCTTTCTACATAAAATGCAAGGTCAACAGGCAGTCCTTCTGGATCAGGTTTCCACCTACTCTTAGGCTTCATTCTCCAAATTGCTGTAGCTTGACCAAACCGCTTTCAGGGTTTGATCCATACACATCCCTTCTTCACATCTTTGCTCATGCTGCTCTTGATCTTGGACATGCTTTGCACCCACACTCGCACTCATTCCTATATATCCAGAAAATAACTACTTGTCTTTCAATACTTGAGCTAAGTATTGAAGTGTCACCTTCTTTAGACAGCTTCACTAGCTCTCCATTCAGTGTAGAGTCCACTACTCCCTTTTTGGTGACCCCACTGAGCCTGTATTAAGCTTCCTCTACCACTTTCTTTCACCTTCCACTTAACAATGACTACACCATAGCCTGGTGTAATTGATTAGCCTATATCTACTAGAAGGCAAATCCCAAGAAGTAAGGACTGTCTTATTTTCTTTGTGATCTCAGTTATTGATATGGATACCTCTTATGGAAGTCATGCAATAAACTGCTAAGAATACAAATGGGTGGAGAAAAAACATTTTTAAGTTTTCTGGGCTAAAATTTTACTAATTATACTTACAAATCTCAGATTTTAGTTAGATTTGCTTTCAGTGAATATACAGTACCAAACATAATGCCTCCAAAAATCTTAAAATATACACTTGAAAAATGATAACAAAATCAACCAAATGAATTATGCTAATGAAAAGGAAATATTCTTGTTAAGATGGTAGAGGAACTTGAATTATAAGGACTAAACATACCCAGAAAAAATACATAATATTATCACTTTTAATCCAGGAATTTATATTTTTTCCAAATTAGTTTTTAGTATAAAAGGCTTCCAATCTTTCATATCAATTCTTTTTTTATATCAGTTCTTTTTTTGCAATTTAATTTTTTTATTTCTATAGTAATCTTGAAATAGCATTATTTTATATTAAATGGGTTCTAAAAAAAAAAAACCCTAGAGAATACAGGGGGAATATTTCTCATCAATAAGGAATCCCCTGGGTGACGATTTGTCTCCTTACTTTTATTCAATACACTAAGCTAACAGATTTTGCTAGTACAGAAAACTGAAATGCAAACCATGTTACTGGTCCCTGAGGGAATTTACCTCTTACTACCTTCTAAAGAAGGTAGACGTACAGGGAAAAAATAATCCCACAAATTTTTTGTAACATTGATTTTACTTCTTTTACTTTTTCATTCATTACCTTACTGCTCTGCCAAATACCTAGGAACAGGATTTAAATCCAATCCCCGGAGTTTCCATTCTAAGATTTCGAAGTTTATACATCTATGAATTTTTTTTGGACATGGATTTCCCTAATCCCCTACCATGAACATCAGCATCTAAAGGGAGTCAGCTGTTCTTTGAAGAGCAGAAACACAGTCATCACAAACTGACTGATGATAGCAAGGCACATACCTGGATAAATATTAAATAAAATATAATTAAGCATTAGGGCAGCTGAACCTAGCAAATACATGACTAATGTCTAGAACAGTTCATGGGAAAACAGGGTTACATTCTCTTCTAGTGCTGAGGACCACGATTCTTCTACTATATCTTAGATTTTAAAAGGAGAGGAAGGGGATGCCTGGGTGGCTCAGCGGTTTGGCGCCTGCCTTCAGCCCAAGGCGTGATCCTGGAGAGCCAGGATCGAGTCCCGCCACATTGGGCTCCCTGCGAGGAGCCTGTTTTTCTCTCTGCCTATGTCTCTGCCTCTCTCTTTCCGTGTCCCTCATGAATAAATAAATAAAATATTTAAAATATGTATATATAAAAGGAGAGGAAGGAGGATGGGGAAAGAAGACTAGAACAATCCCAACCATCTCTTCAGCTCTTCTCCATTAATATACAGGAAAAGATTATAAAGAATGAGCTTCAGGACGCCTGGATGGCTCAGTGGTTGAGCACCTGCCTTCGGCCCAGGGCATGATCCTGGAGTCCCAGGATCGAGTCCCACATCGGGCTCCCTGCATGGAGCCTGCTTCTCCCTCTGCCTGTGTCTCTGTCTCTCTCTCTGTGTGTGTCTCTCATGAATAAATAAAGTCTTTAAAAAAAAATGAGCTTCCACATACTGCACAATATAAAGAAGTTGGTGGGTTTTTTTTCTTTTAAAAAACTATTCACGATGGAACAATTCATCCAATACTATGAACTGTGTAAAAAGGGGTAATTTAAGTTATATAATAAACATTTACTGAGTTGAGCTATCAGTCATGTAAGTTGATGTCCATAAGTTATTTATGATTTGAAATGTGTCAAAATATACTTTTATCACCACAAATCAATACTGCTCGTTTCCAGGGTCCTGATTTCCTGTCTGGTAGTCTGTTCTATGCATGTATGTCACACATACACTCAGACATCTTCTGAAATCCTTTTTGTATATATTTCAATAGTATTGACGATTAGATAGTAGAAAGGGGGAAGGACGGGTAGAAATCAACATAATTGTGTCCCAGTTCCTGGAGTAGACTCTGGTACATTTTCCTTGGATTAATCTGAAAGGGCAAAGCTCTGCCTCTGTATTGATCCGCAATGCTTGTTATGCTGCTCTAATGCACTGTTTTCACTTTGGGAAAATGCTAAATGAGATTACCATCCACCATTAGAAGGCCATAAAACACAAGCCATGGCACCTTCCATTCAGGAAAAGGTTTAAAGGCATTTCCAATATGCATTATGGTAAGCCCTCCATACAGCCACCGAGTCAGCAATTGATTTGTATTGACTGCTTTCCTTCCTGCTGGTGGAAAAAGCCACAACAAGGCAAAAATAACAAAAGGGCAGAATTTCAAGATACCTAAGAAGGAAAATTAAATCTCGGCGGCAAGAGACATTTAAATAATTTAATTTCTTTGCATGAAAAGGATATTTTAAAAGGCAAATGGCAAATGAGAAATGTTAAGACAAAGATGAAAAACAAATCTAGAGAACTCGAAACAGTAATCGAGAAAGAGCTAGAACAGTAATCCCCAAACATATTGGGCAAAAAAGAATTGGTGGAATGAAGTCGATACTTGAAAATATATACTGATCAAAAATAAGAAAAAAACCCAATTTCGTGGTCACTTGAAATGATTGGGGATTTTGAGGGGTCCCACCATGTATCCCTACGCTCCTCCTCTTCATTTTACTTTGCCTTTCTGGACTCTACACTCTGTTCCCTTCCTCCTCCCTCCCTCTCACAAGCATCTACCTTCGCCCTTCCTACCTTACCCCACAGTGGCCCTAAGGACCAAGGGGGTTGATAACCATATCCAGTGACAGAATCAGAAAGCCTAAGATGTGAACAGAAAATAAAATCACTCCTGGTGGGCATTCTGTATCAGCAGAGCCACTTTTGTCAATGCTTAATGTTAAATATTCACTTAAAAGGCAGCTAAGAAAATAGACCCCAGTGTTTTGCTCATTACACTGACAGGGCCACTGTAGAAACTTTGGGTGGGTGGGTGGGTGGGGGATACAGAAAAGAATACAGAAATACATTTAGGCTGTTTTTAATTTTTCAGTGCTTAAAGTAACATGGCGATGGATATAAATTATTACTGTCATCTCTGATTATTTCCTGGGGATAATTTCCTATAAGTTGAATTAAGGGTCAAAGGCAAATAAAAACAGTTTGGAAAAAATGAAGCTGAGATAAACAGTGTTCAGCTCTCCTCTTGAGACTTGGTGACACACTGACACTCGGCCATCTGTTTTAGAGCTATCTGCAGGTTTCACTGCTGCTGCTTCCACTTTCATGTCTGAGAAACTTCTTTGATGTGGGTCTGAGCTTTATATTTCGAGGAAACTACTTACCCATCTTTTTAGTTCTGCTAATATAAATGGCAAGGATAATAAGGTAACTTCAGAGAAGGAAAAAAATATGGAGATAGCTCTCCACATACCAGTCTCCACCAGAAGGCTAAAGAAGTCATGTAATGACAATCAGCAGCCACAAATTCCTAAAGCTCACAGGAACACAGAAATCATTCATTCTGAGTACAGGTACACACACAAAAAGATCCTTTCCCTCTATCTGAACCAGTAAGTTTTGCAGGGTGGGGTGGGAGGGGTGAGGGAGGGAGGGAGAGATGGAGGGGAAGAGGAGGAGAGAGGGAGGGAAGGAATGTATGCGTAGATGGACAGACACAGAGAATGGCTGGTGCTAAAAGAATTCTGATTCTTTTTTTTTTTTTAATTTTTATTTATTTATGATAGTCAGAGAGAGAGAGACAGAGGCAGAGACACAGGCAGAGGGAGAAGCAGGCTCCATGCACCGGGAGCCTGATGTGGGATTCGATCCCGGGTCTCCAGGATCGCGCCCTGGGCCAAAGGCAGGCGCTAAACTGCTGCGCCACCCAGGGATCCCAAGAATTCTGATTCTTTTAACAAGTTGCGACAATGCATCCTTCATGGGATCTGGTGATCTCATAAGGTGGTATTAACCACATTAAAAGCAGGCACACAACACCAACCATGGAGTCAAATCTTTAG